GAAGCTGGTGGTCCTGAGATCAAGTCAGAGAACTGTTCCATAAATCAAGTGTCAATTTCCGTGATGGAAACTAGATGATTGTTTCTTCTGTTACATAGATGCTTATAGGACAGTTTCAAAAGTAAGGATTTAGTTTCCAGACCATACAGGTTGTTATTTTGTTTGTTTGTACACTTAAGTCATTAAATTCTATGAAGTAAGAACTACAAACTGAAAAATGATGACATTATTCATATTTATGACAAGATAGCATTAGCAGATCCAACATGATGAATCTGCCTACAAGAAATGGATTAGTTTCTGGATTTTCCACATTCTACTTTTGATGCTTTTACTTACTTTTGTTATATCATACTTACTTTGATTAGTGGAATATGAAATTGCTTAGGAAATGTGTGATACAGCTGAATATAGAAAAGATAACATCATTGAAGAATGTATACTTTAGTTTTCAATTTGTGCTTCTACATGGTCCACGCCATCTTAGAGAAGATTGAACAAGGATTGGTAGCCTTTGCATCAAAGCTATTTTAGAAATTGATCAAATACGCACTAAGAACAGTTAAATTTGTGTTCTGATTTCTCTACATTACTCTGTTAAGAAATAGAAACTGTAGGTTTATTGCCATAATAAAGCTTTGATTAAGTGGGATCAAGCATAGATTAAGGGGGATTAATTGGGATACGTAAAGGCCAGGTGGTGGTGAGTCCTTGCACAATAGAGAGGGTGCAGAAATTGCAGAGTGAAAGACTCAGAAGAAGGAATCAACTTACAGGACAATGATAAAAATTATGCTAGTAGAATTCAGACACAGAAGAAACCATGCACAGGCAAAAATAACTTTGTTTTCCGGAACAACAAAGTCTGATATTTATTTATTTATTTGTTATTGAGACTAGGGAGAGAGAAGTGGAGCTGCTAAGGGATCTGTATAGCTTGAACCTTAATCTATCAGTTTAAACTTTCAACAACACTCTCTGTCATGGTATTAGACCCTGACTGGCATGAAATCCAGTGTTTGAATTATGACTGATCTCATTTTATATTGGATTCTGCCACACGGTCTAGTTGGTGAGACCAGTACCTAGAGTCTTCGACCACTTGTGAGGATGTGCTATAAGCTATATGCTAGCTGAGACCTTTACTGTTTGCTTAATACTCAGGGTTGACATTATTCTTATTAGTTGGGGATTGTTTCTGAGGCCAAGCTCTTACGTGGTTTTCCAGTTAAGTCCTCTGTCAACTAATTTGCAGCAGCATTGTTGTTAGTCCACTTGTTGCGTTTTTGTTGTATTGTTAGTCCTCTGTCAACTTTTTTCCCAATTTTTTGTTGTTCCCTATAACAGTTTTAGATTGCTGACTGAACTGGACAGATGATTACACTTGGAGCTGATGCCCAACTTGAACTGGTGGATTCTCTGGATCCTTTCTCTGAAGGTGTTGTTTTCAGTGTTAGAACACCCAAGAAAAGCTGGAAGAATATTGCTAACTTATCCGGTGGTGAAAAAGTTATTTTCCTTGTCATTGGCAGTACATTTGTTAATGCAAAACTTGCATGCCCTCATCCTTGTTCTTTATTATACTTTAAATTCTGTGTTTTTAACATGTGCTTCGTTATTACTTGCAGACTCTTAGCTCGTTAGCACTTGTTCTTGCCCTTCACCATTACAAGCCTACCCCACTTTATCTCATGGACGCAGTTGATGCTGCCTTCGGTGCAATTTTTGAACCATGAACCATTTTCTTTTCGTTTTTCTTATAATATGCCTGTATACTTCCCCTTCTTCTCTCCTCGGTCACCTAAATTTATTGGTTGCTATGGTGTTGCAGACTTCAAGAATGTTTCTATAGTTGGACATTATGTGAAGAACCAAACAAAAGATGCGCAGTTTAAAATAATAAGGTGTGTTTGGTCTCTCAAGGTTTTTCTTTTATCATTGCGAGGTACTATCTGTACCGAATCTGTTTTCTCTGTAATTCCTTGATTTCCTTGCAGCCTTAGGAATAACATGTTTGAATTGGCTGACCAACTTGTTGGGATCTACAAAACTGATAATTGCACCAAAAGCATTACCATCAATCCAGACAGTTTTGTGGTGTGTGAAAACGCTGCTTGATGCTTGCGGGTTTCATCTTTTGAAGTAAGGTTCTATACTACTGTCATTTTCTTTTGTACTCCAATCACTGATTTGGTGGTTATTGGATTATAACAACTCACCTGTGTCAAATCCATAGGAAATATGAAGACCTGTTTGTTAAATGGTCAAATTCTATGTGCAAAGCAGGTAAAAACTAATTCTGTTTTGTGTATGATCGGCTCATTGCTGATTTTGTTGTCAGAAGCCACAGGAACTAAGTACACATTTATATGATTTAATGTATCCTTTGCTTTGCCAAAAACAAACCAGTGTTTGCACTAGGAGTTTCTTGACTATCTTACTTTTTCCTGCGTTATCCTCAGTTACTAATTATCTTAAAACATTATTCTGACTTATCTACATGCCATCTGTAAAGGAAAGCAGCATGCAAGAACGAGAGGATGCCAGGAGACGTTGGGAGGATATTGTTTGTTTTTTGACCATGGAAAAAGTTAAGAGCCCTTAAAGTCCTTCTAGTTGATCTGTTAATTGCTGAAGTAGGAAGTCAAAGAATTTTGTTGAATATAGAATGGATTGTTGTCCTTTCCTTGTAGTTCATCATTTTGAGAAGCAAATGCGTAAGCGGATTGGTCGGTTTTGACTTTTCAGCTTTAAATGGAAAGATTATTAAGCTTTTGATTTGTATCCATGAAAAAGCATTTCATTGATATATATATATATATATATATATATATTACAACAAAAATATTGTGAAACTAATTGAGAATCAAGACTACTTGCAACAACAAATTGAATTTGTCAAAAAC